GTCACAAAAGATGTTAGAATAAATAAATATATAATAGCATAGCAGACAAAGGCCCCTCATTAAAGAACATATAACCCTGATAGTTTGCTCAAATGAACCACTGTCATTTTTGTGGCAAAGCGTCGTTTTTCGTACTGTCAAAAATCAAATTTTTGCCCCTGGTATTTGATAAAGGTGGTCAAAGCCGTTGTCTGTGAGTGAAATATTGGAATCGGAAATGTGGAAAAGAGAGAAAAAAGTAAATAATTTTAAGATATCTTTAATAGTTCTTTTTTAGGCGAGCAAAGAAACATACTTCTGACATAACCATTTATCATATTTTTTTCTTAAAAAAGGGCCGTATTTGATCGTGGTGGGACTATCAAAAACGTATTAAATGAAGACTTGATTTAATTCCTAAATTCCATGTTGCTCTTTTTGAAGTTATTCTCGATGCACTCAATAAAGAGAGGAAACGAAAGGCTGTTTACAGTTTTGTTACTGCAAAGCCTGCTCCTTTTAACTTTTCAGCAGATCAATTAGGAAATTTAGACCTTTCGGGAGATCGGACTGGTCGTATTTTGTATCCATATTTCATATTCTTTGAAGCACCCTGTAAGCGTCAAAAAGCACATTGTAAGCATCGATTGCACGAGGTTTAAGCTATACTAAGCCAATTTCTTCCGAATTTACGCAGAGACCACGAGGCGCGGCTCATCTTGATACGTCACGAAGCGCGCTCTGTCCCCGAGAGTTCATTTTGAAGTTCCAGAAAAGTGGAGAGAACACATTAGGATGGACCTCTTATCAGGTGCCTTGCAACCTGATTATGGTCTTAAAAACTACACTGTAATTTACTCTGGACTCTGGAACTGTATTGTTGTAGGTTGCTTCAATATCTAGAAAGGCCAAAAGACAATAATCCTTTGGAGCTGAAAGACTTTTCGCTAAACTTGACCAGGCCATGAAGCAGTGTACTATCAGACGTAAGCGGCAGGTAGACACTGATGATACTTTTTAGGGATCTGAGCACAGAGGATGAGGCTGTTAATCTTAAGATCCTTCAATGTGCTTTGTAGGCTTTGCCAGCTTTGGGGATATAAAAGCCAAGATGCAAGTTGAAGACAAAATAGTGATTTAATTTCGTAGATAAATATGTATGTATAGCAAGTTGGGTGCAAACTTTTTATTTTTGGCAAACATTTTTTACCAGATTATTGTTGTTGAAAATGCTTTTCCTGTTTTAAATCGAACCCTAACACTGTTGCATTAAGACATACTTATGTAAGCGATTTCAAATTAAAATTTAATAACTCAATAATTTTAGAATTTCCCACTGGGACACTTCAAAATTAACCATTCTGTGTGTATATGTATGCGTTAGCTCGGATGTGTTGGAGAGCGAATTCGCCGCATATTTCACATAAAACTCTCACGTAAGCTCTCGCAAATTCCGCAGGGAAATAAGGCACAGTTTACAAAAATACCATTATTGTAATGCAGGGTTGTATGTAAGAGGCTAGTAAGACATAATCATATGTAGCATATCAAATGCTGCTTTATAACCACAATTCTCAGGAGCATATGAGCAATTGTTGTGAGTTAATGCGACTGACTTCCTTTTCCGTGTCGCAAGAAGCATACACACACTTGTATACACGTATTTATATACCATGCATATATGTATGTATTTCTTTAAGGAACTGTAGTTATATTCTATTAGTTTAAATTATAAATATGGTTGTAGTAAAAGTTAGGTTTATGAAATACGTGAGGTTTATGATGTACCCAATAGCGTTCAAGCTGTTTGGCCTTGTGGCAGGTTTCTTTAAGAGTTCGGATTTAAAAGACATGGAAGGAATAAGCAGATCGTATTCGAAAGGATTTTTTTACCTTCGAGCATTGCCAGCTTTCTTTCACGGTGTGTAGATTTTCTGCTTCTTCTTATTTGGCCCTAAAACCGCTTGTCGGAGACCAAGAAGCTTCTCAAATTGTCTGTCCCTCTACTCATCCTGAATGCAGACAGGTATTTCTGCACTTGGTCCTTCCATTGTGCTTTGCTTTTGTTTTGCACCCATGGGTGCGGAGTCGAAGGATCTTTTCACCGGAGCGTCGACATCCATGCGTACACCATACCCGTCGTCCACGGGAACAGCACCGTAGATCTTGCGTATTCTTCTAGTAGTTCTTTCGAAAGCACTCAAAACTTTCTCATCTTTGTCCGACATCGTTATATAGAAGAACAGGCATGATGAAAGAAGAAGATATAGAAGAACATGCTTGACGAGAGACTTGTAAAGCGTGAATTTCGCTCGTCGAGAGAGGGCTCTATTCTTCAATTGAATAACGAGGCCAAAGTATTACGTATTGGCAAGAGTTACTCTTCGCTTGATCTCCAGACTAACGGGAGAAATAAAAAGAATACTGCTTAAACAGTGCAAAGTTGTTTTAGAAGGCAGCATTACATGACACACCTCTATTTAGATAAAACAAAGGCCGAGCAGGCAATAAATTCTCTTCGCTTCGCTAGTATTTCCTGCTGAATTGAATATCACCAATCGACCAAGCAAAATGACTGTGAGATCGAGAAGTCTTCGAGGCTTTTGCTATTCAAGAAACATCTTCTAAATGGCAACCACACGACGCTATACTATTATTATGGTGCTCCAGTGTAAGAGTAAATCCTCTCAGCTGAAGCTGTCATGATGAGGACGAGGAGAAATAAATTTAAAAGTTCTTGTATCAGTATTAAAGTTTATACTTACAGCCATATATGTAAATTACTCGACTTGACATTTTCCCAATTAGTTTAAGGGTTCCGGCTAAAACAGAAATATCCGTGGTCAATTCTGCTCAAGACGTGGGCATACCTCCAACCTCCTGCACACAGATTAAAAACTGAACTCACAAGAAAGTAAATACCAGCTGGGTCATGAAACTCACTTGTCAGAAATTCAGACAAATTTGTCCAAAGGTTGACGTAAAGCGATCGAAAGCGCTCACTCGGCGTGTCCGCTCCTCTCAAATATTAATATTTGGGGTAATAACCGAACACTACCTTTCGAGTGCTATCTATGCCACCTGCCACTGTCCCGTCCTGGCTAGGAGCAGAAATTAATTCATCAAAAAGTATGTTTTAAATTGTTTAGATGACCTGAATTCAGGGAAAGTTTTTAATTTTCTGTGCTACAGAACGGTGGTGATCACACCGCGCGACACTAAAGTTTACACATAAAAAAATGAATATATATATATAGTAAGTACTTAGTTTTTCTCTCTGATGTCAGGATTTTTTTTAAGGACTTTGAATTTTAGAAAATATGATTATTTTAAAAAATTATTTTAAAAATTCGGTGCAATGTAGGATAACAATAAGGGTATCATATAAAAGAGAAAAATCTGTAGAATTATAACAGAATAAATTTTTTGGTGCATCACGACGAATGTGTATGGAAAATGTCCTTTACAAATTTTGTCCATAAGTATCTTTGAAAATTTGCAATACTTAAAAAAAAAAATATATTGTTTTAAGACTATTATACGAACGTCCTCATCATCAAATTTCGCCCGGCATACTTTATTAAATCAACCAACACCAACATACTTTATTAACTTAAAAAGATAAAATTCATTAAAAGCGCATTTCAGTACTTATTCGTCCGTGTAAACAAAAAACTTTACTGTTTTATTTCTGAAAACACACAAGGCTGAAATTACGAGCGCTATTAAGGTGTATTGAGGGATACGATCCATGCGGAAACATATGGCTACATAGGCTTTTGGATGACCTGCTGTGAACAACTATTGTGGAACTTCCTGGATTTTATTCGCTCGACAAGCAACTCTGCTTGATTTCAAACACTGCAAAATTTGAATAGCAATGGTGTGTCCTCACGCGCCTCTGAAGACCCTAGACGTCATAGTGAAAAATTTTTTAAGGCTTGGAAAGTCGATGTCTGATTCAGGGCCTAGTTTTCGAAGATTTCAAAGGAAAAATTAGTAGCATTTTTATTTAATTTTGCATGAGCACTCCGGAACGCAGCTATATTCAAACGAGTTGTGAGTCCTGCCAGTTCGCTTAAAATTTGGTATAAATTTCAAGAACACTGGGCCAGTTATGTTGAAAAATATCAAGGCGGTAGGAAAGGAATGAAAAAAAAAAAATAGAAAATAACTCTTCTTGCTATACCAAAATATTCATGTAAGATTGTGCTATTGGAAATGGGAAATGCACTTCCGATGCAACGCAAATTGCAACAAAAGCAAGGCGTTAAAACTCAAAACATTATAAATACATACTCAAGACAAGAATACCTACAAATATATGTACCATATCTATACGGTGTAGCATAATGCCCTACTTTCCAGCGCAACATAAAACCAACAATAACAAAAGCAACGCAACAAGACACAAAAAAGGAACAAAACAAACGGCATAAAGAAGGAAGACACAAATCAACAATGAACAAAACAAAAACAATGAAATTTCCCCGCCATGAAAGCACAATGAACACGAAAAGGGACAACCTTATGTGTAGAGAGGAGCATTAGCAGCCAACTCACTCGAACATTTTCCAAGTGTGGAAAACTCTCACGCATACATTTGCAAGTGTGGAAAATGTGTTAGAAGGAAAATTTATAGAATGAAATGCCACACTCTTTGAGTAGATTAAAATTCATATACACTGCGCCGAAGCGTGCCAAACAGCAGCGTAGAACGTAAAGGTATCCTGCCTAGCTGGACCAGCGCGACACACAAAAAAGGCGCACCCACACACACCAGCATGCAAGTGCATTGATGGCGCGAGAGATGCTCTTTGGCGTACATTTCGAGTTTGTGGAAGCAAGAGCGTTTTGTGTCTAATAATGCGGAGTTGTATGCTGAGATCCCGAACTCAAAATGATGCTGAGTTTGAGGTAGTGGCTCACACGACACACACATCCGTCTTAGTTACATACATACATAACTATGTGGTACATATTAGCAACGAGACGAAGTCAACACCATCTATGGCAGCAGCCGAGCTGGTATCAACCAACAGCTATGCTCGCATTCAGTTGTAGTTGGATAGGATAACGTCGCAGACGAATGTGATTGCCATTTACGGATTGTGAAAGTAGGTGAAGAAGCAAAGGGGAAAGAATTGAAAATTTTCCTTTGAAAAGTGCAAAGTCAATTTTTTTGTGTGTATTTATTGTGTGAAAAAAGTAAATTCTGCTAGCAAAATTAAATGAAATTTACTCTAAAGTGATTGCTTTGTTAAAGATTTATGGACTTTTAAGGAATAATTGTGTATTTAGTACAAGATAGCTGAGAAGAAGAAAAGTATTTTGCGCAAATAGAAAATGAAAAAATTATAGAACTACATTTGAAGTTAAAGAAAAAAGGCGTGTAAAACAAAAATTACATGCGAGCAAAATAAAGAAAGCGTCTTTTTTTTACATAAAACTTGTATTTTTTGGGCAAAAACTGCAAATATTAAAAAAAAAATGCTTGCAAAGAGCTGCGCTTCAAATGCCATAAAATTATTTGTGTACAACAGTGCGAAAAAATCTTTTTTTTTCTTCAATAAAAATTTGTGTATATCTAATGGCATACATTTTCTAGTTAAAAATTACACACATAAAAACAGTAGTTACAACGAAAATCTCATTCAACTATTCCTGCTGCATAGAATATGCATACATATAAGTACATTTGTACTTCAGTTCTGCTAATTATATGGGAAAACTCACTTGAGACCTGCATACATACATACAAGCACAAAAACAAATACTTTTCACACATTGAGGCATACACACACACGCACACACCTACATTTACAATATGTACCTACTCGTAAAAAATTCTCTCCTGTGAAGCATCAACTAACTGTTAAAGATGCTATCATCTCTGGAGACGAGCAACTCGCCAGCGAGCATGAATACGAAAGCAGAAGACAAAAAAAAACAAAAAAAAAACCAACAAAAAATCCAAACAAATTGCTCTCAATCATACACACGAACATGCAATACATTCGACTACTAAGCCTTATTAAACAACTGCCCTCCCTCCCCATCTCTCTTGAATGCCAAGTGGCACTATTAAGTTTCGTTCAGCAGCAGCAATGTATTTTAATCAGCTTTTTAAGCTGTCTTAGGTTACATATTTTTAGGCGTTTAACATAGCTGAGCTTTAGGCGTTCATATTGTACACTCGCTTGTTCATTACGAGTGGCTCACTTTTGTTTTTACGAGCATTACAATTATGCGAGGCTCCTCGAGTACATACATACATATGTACCCTGTGTATGTATTCTGTTAGCACAAATACATCGAAGGCGCAGCATAACGAGGTTGCAAGTTCGGAAATCGCGAATCGCATGTTGTGAGAATGCGTGAGCTTGTGAAACGAACCTACTACTAGAAGCTGCGCGGAACCTGCAACAGCAGGCAGGGAAGTTAACTAGAGTATTTGGCGGCTTTCTCCGCGAGAGACTGTCTGACTGCGAGCCATACTTCGCTCGATGCTTATCCCAGCAAGCTTCATTAGAACCGAATGACTTCCTCGGCATGCATACGCACACTCGCACTCTCGCATAATAGGCACCTCCATCATGTCCAGTTGAGCATCACTCCACCTGATCCGCGCCCAGTTAGTCGAGTGCTGCTGCGTAGAGCAGAGTTGCCAAATGCACAAAATTATCGCATTCCTGGTTACAGCTTCAAATGTGTGATAGTAATGGAACACACGAGAAACAAAAAAAAAAATAAACCTAAATTATTTGCTTTTGCTACAGGGAGGTCACTAGGTCGGCCCGGGATGTCTGCGGCACGTAGCTACAACTTTTGTTGTTGTTAGCTTGTCCATCACTGATTATAAGCGTCGTTTACTGAACGCTAAATGTTAACCAACGGTCAGGTAGTAAGTTGCGTTGTTGTTGTATTTTGTGTTTGCTGTTGTTTTAAAATGCAGCTTTGGCGTTGTTGCTGTCAGGCGAACGAATGCCGAGTACTTTGCGCGTGCACTCGCGCCAACAACAAGCAGCTGTAGTAATTGTGTGTGCAGCGCGTGAGGATGCGAAATCACAAAACCCTCGTTCGTGCTCATTTCTAATTCTAAATGCACTCTGTGGTGCTTTTTTTTCTTTGTTCTTTGTTCGACCCCCCCTCCTCTGTTTATGGATGNTACAAGATAGCTGAGAAGAAGAAAAGTATTTTGCGCAAATAGAAAATGAAAAAATTATAGAACTACATTTGAAGTTAAAGAAAAAAGGCGTGTAAAACAAAAATTACATGCGAGCAAAATAAAGAAAGCGTCTTTTTTTTACATAAAACTTGTATTTTTTGGGCAAAAACTGCAAATATTAAAAAAAAAATGCTTGCAAAGAGCTGCGCTTCAAATGCCATAAAATTATTTGTGTACAACAGTGCGAAAAAATCTTTTTTTTTCTTCAATAAAAATTTGTGTATATCTAATGGCATACATTTTCTAGTTAAAAATTACACACATAAAAACAGTAGTTACAACGAAAATCTCATTCAACTATTCCTGCTGCATAGAATATGCATACATATAAGTACATTTGTACTTCAGTTCTGCTAATTATATGGGAAAACTCACTTGAGACCTGCATACATACATACAAGCACAAAAACAAATACTTTTCACACATTGAGGCATACACACACACGCACACACCTACATTTACAATATGTACCTACTCGTAAAAAATTCTCTCCTGTGAAGCATCAACTAACTGTTAAAGATGCTATCATCTCTGGAGACGAGCAACTCGCCAGCGAGCATGAATACGAAAGCAGAAGACAAAAAAAAACAAAAAAAAAACCAACAAAAAATCCAAACAAATTGCTCTCAATCATACACACGAACATGCAATACATTCGACTACTAAGCCTTATTAAACAACTGCCCTCCCTCCCCATCTCTCTTGAATGCCAAGTGGCACTATTAAGTTTCGTTCAGCAGCAGCAATGTATTTTAATCAGCTTTTTAAGCTGTCTTAGGTTACATATTTTTAGGCGTTTAACATAGCTGAGCTTTAGGCGTTCATATTGTACACTCGCTTGTTCATTACGAGTGGCTCACTTTTGTTTTTACGAGCATTACAATTATGCGAGGCTCCTCGAGTACATACATACATATGTACCCTGTGTATGTATTCTGTTAGCACAAATACATCGAAGGCGCAGCATAACGAGGTTGCAAGTTCGGAAATCGCGAATCGCATGTTGTGAGAATGCGTGAGCTTGTGAAACGAACCTACTACTAGAAGCTGCGCGGAACCTGCAACAGCAGGCAGGGAAGTTAACTAGAGTATTTGGCGGCTTTCTCCGCGAGAGACTGTCTGACTGCGAGCCATACTTCGCTCGATGCTTATCCCAGCAAGCTTCATTAGAACCGAATGACTTCCTCGGCATGCATACGCACACTCGCACTCTCGCATAATAGGCACCTCCATCATGTCCAGTTGAGCATCACTCCACCTGATCCGCGCCCAGTTAGTCGAGTGCTGCTGCGTAGAGCAGAGTTGCCAAATGCACAAAATTATCGCATTCCTGGTTACAGCTTCAAATGTGTGATAGTAATGGAACACACGAGAAACAAAAAAAAAAATAAACCTAAATTATTTGCTTTTGCTACAGGGAGGTCACTAGGTCGGCCCGGGATGTCTGCGGCACGTAGCTACAACTTTTGTTGTTGTTAGCTTGTCCATCACTGATTATAAGCGTCGTTTACTGAACGCTAAATGTTAACCAACGGTCAGGTAGTAAGTTGCGTTGTTGTTGTATTTTGTGTTTGCTGTTGTTTTAAAATGCAGCTTTGGCGTTGTTGCTGTCAGGCGAACGAATGCCGAGTACTTTGCGCGTGCACTCGCGCCAACAACAAGCAGCTGTAGTAATTGTGTGTGCAGCGCGTGAGGATGCGAAATCACAAAACCCTCGTTCGTGCTCATTTCTAATTCTAAATGCACTCTGTGGTGCTTTTTTTTCTTTGTTCTTTGTTCGACCCCCCCTCCTCTGTTTATGGATGCTGCGGGTATTACAACTTTATCTAACGCGCGCGCCCTTTCCTCATCCATCTTCCTGCTCTTGCCGCTTTGCTTGGTCTGTAAGTGCGCGTGAACTCAATGGCCACCTTAATAAGTTAATTCAGTTTATGGTGCCAGGCTTGGTGGCTATTGTTTGCGCACGCTCTTAGCGCTCCCCTGCCCGTTGACCGCCCGAAGGCAGCTTCTGCATTATATTTAGTCTCTTTTTTTCTTCGCTTTATTTGTTTGTTGGCGATTTTAACTTTAATTGAAATCTCAAGTCTTTATAGTTTTGTTTACTTAGACTCTTAGCCAGCTGGCCTGCGATTTTTTATTTTTTTTGTGGGCGACTATTGTTTGCTTTTTACTTTCGCACGCTTTTATAACTTTTACTGTTTCTCAAGCGAATTTGTGTCGTGCTAATGAGGGAATGTTGTCATTCAGTTTCTACTAAATATGTAGCGAGATTTAAACAATTTCTTTGTATGTATCTAAAAATGTGCGCACATCTTTATGAGCCAATATGTTAAGTTCTAGAAGAGACCACTTCTAGACTAGTTCTGCCACAATTGACAGAAAACTGATCAGTACCTCTGAATGTTTCCTTACGCCAGTCCCCTTAGAAAGGTCAAGTATAGTCAAAAGCTTTAAATACGAGGACTAAGCTGATATTACACAGTTGACAAACATCGCTGGAATATGGAAAGGAAGTTATTATGATGTATTTTGGAATGAATTTCCGTCATCCCTTGTCAAATTGGGTTTGGAGACAAACCGGTTTCGGCGTTGTGCCATCTTCAGTGTAATTTTTCGTTCCACGATGGCATAACGCCGAAATCGGTTTGTCCCCAAACCAAATTTGACAGGGATGACGGAAATTCGTTCCAACATACATCATACACCCACCCTTTCGGAAACAACAACAACCAAAAAGGAAAGAAGTTATTATAGTTAGTGCACCTTTGAGTGGGGACATTTCACTTTGTACTGGCCCTCCCACAAGGATTTCGCAGTAGAATTAAATATCATATCTAGTTCTAAAAAAATTAGGAAGGGGTAGATCTGTGCCACTTTCCCTTTCTATA